AATTTCGACACCGAAAGATTGATAATTGAAATTCAGTCCCGACATTAACTATTCATCTGCTATTGAATACGCAAACCGGGACTTGAAAAAAAGAAACTGGGAAGAACTTGTGGAAATATTTGGAGGAGATTTATTTACAGTAGAAAAGAAAGAATTAGCTAAGAAGTGTTTCTATCATTTCGTGATCTCATAATGTTGATCCATCTGTTCGCTCGACTGGCGTCGAAAGCTGGCAGCTTGTCTGGCGTCTTTTTCTGGCAGCTGGACGCCATGGCATCGCTGTTGGTGTCGCTGCCATGGCCTCCTAGTGCGATACCGCCCTAAGAGTGCAATGGAAACATCTACCATTAAATTCAAGACTCAGCCATCAACCATGAAGTTAATGCTGAGTGTTGTTTGACTACCAAGGTCTTATCATTGAACATTTCCAGGAACGTGGAACCACAGTAAAAAGTGCAAGGTTTTCCGACATGTTACGAAATGAAATGAGATCAGCCTTTCGCTCAAAACGCCGAGGGAAGTTATCGGAAGTTATTCTCTCCTTGCACGACAATGCTCGACCTCACAATGCCGCCCATATTATGGAAACCATACAGGAGCTGAAGTCTCGACCGTCCAACATACAGTTTGGACTTTGCACCTTCGGATTTCAATCCGTTTGGACCCCTAAAGGCTACTCGACTCGTCGATTTGCTGATATGAAGAGACGAAGGTAGTGGTGGGTGGCTGGCTTCGTACTCAGCGCAAACAATTATTTTAATGGCATTAGAAAGCTTGTAGGCCGCTGGACAAAGTGTGTTGAATCACCCTCGTACATCCTCTAGTTCAGTGGTATTCAACCTGGGGTACGCGAAGACATCTTAGGGGGTACGTGAAATTTAAAAAAAAATTATTTTACGATAAACACTGAATAATCAGTAATGTAATTTATTTAATTTATTTTAAATGTATATTATATACTATGTATAACTTGAATTATAGACCAACAACTTTGGGGGTACAAAGTTGAAGAGAAATTATATCTGGGGGTACGCGAACAAAAAAGTTTGAATACCACTGCTCTTGATAACAATTAGTTAGGCAGAAGATTCTGACCTTAATGACGCCAGGGTTCCCCGAAATTTGATTTCTAATCCTTAAAACTTTAGATAAGAAGCAGATAAGCAGAAGATTCTGGCTGGAATGATGCCAAGAGTTCCTCGAATTTAGCTTTCTTAGTATAATTTCACTGTGTCATGTTTTCGGATAATTTATTAGTTATGTGTCGTGTAACTAACAAATCAACCAAGGCAGACAGTGCCCCTTTTGAATTATACCCTCTCATTTCCCTTGCAAATGAGGAAAAGCGCGGAAAACCTCAGGAAAAGTAGCATTGTATTTGGAGACTGTTTCGCTGACTTGGTCTCGCTTTAGGGACAGCCTCGGCTGGCCGTTTGAGGATCAGTGCCATCTGTCGTTAGGATATATGAATATAGGCATACCTCGGATATATTGCGAGTTCGGTTCCAGACAACCGCAATAAAGCGAGTCACGAATTTTTTGGTTTCCCAGTGCATTTAAAAGTTATATTTACATTATACTGTAGTCTATTAAGTGTGCAATAGCATTATGTCTAGAAAAAACATTGCGAGAATTACCAAAATGTGACCCAGAGACACGAAGTGAGCACGTGCTGTTGGAAAAATGGCCCCGATAGAGTTTCTCGACGCAGGGTTGCCACAAAGCTTAAATTTGTAAAAAAAACGCGATATCTTCGAAGCGCAATAAAACGAGGTATGTCTGTATATACAGCACTCCTTTGCTAAGCGCAGTTGTTAGTAATAATCATCAAAGCCTATGCACCGTTAATAGTTTAGAAATAACATTACACGAAAATCATGCATTGTGTCATAATGGACAAACAGCAGTGGGAATATTAAAGTTAGATAACTGTTTTCGTATATTATTTCTGATCTGCTTCCAGGAAAAATGGT